GGCGCCGGGCCGCGGCCGGCGGCGCGGCGGCGGGGCGCGCTCTGGCTCGGGCGCTGCGCGGCCGGCAGGGCGGGCGCGGGCTGCTGGGCGGGGAGGCTACGCCGGGCGCTCGGAGGAGCAGGAGGGCGAGCTGGGCAGGGGCGCCAGGCTGCTGCCGGAGCTGCTCGGGCCGCGGGCGGCGGCAGGCGGGCGTGGGGCAGGCGCGGCGGCTGCTGCCGGCGGCGCGGCAGGCGCCCGGCGCAAGCCGGCGGCGGGGCGACGGCTGGTGGCGCGGCGGCCCGCGGCGGCGGCGCGGGGGCGTCCGGGGCGGCTGCGGCGCTGCTGGGCCGAGCGGCGCCTGGCGGTGGGACCGCGCTGGTGCTGTGCTTCCTGGAGGAGGTGTGGCGCCTGGCGGTGGGACCGCAGGCCGCAGGCCAGGCGGCCGCGCGGCGGGCGGGCTTCGCGGTCGGACACGCGCCCCGCGGCCGGAGGAGGAGGAGGAGGAGGAGGAGGAGGAGGAGGAGGAGGAGGAAGAGGAGGAGGAGGAGGAGATGGAGGAGGAGAAGGAGAAGGAGGAGGAGGAGGAGGAGGAGGAGGAGGAGGAGAAGGAGGAGGAGGAGGAGGAGGGAGGGAGGAGGGTGGAGGGAGGAGGAAGGAGGAGGAGGATTAAGGAGGAGGAGGAGGAGGAGGAGGAGGAGGATGGGAGGAGAGGAGGAGGAGGAGGAGGAGGAGGAGGAGGAGGAGGAGGAGGAGAGGAGGAGAAGAAGGAGAAGTACAAGGAGGAGGAGGGGAGGGAGGAGGAGGAGGAGGAGGAGGAGGAGGAGGAGGGGGGGGGGATCTATTCGGGGGGGAGAAGGGTGCCCTGCTCGGACCCTTCGAGGCCTCCTTGGGGGCCCGAAGGAAACCCTTTGGGGCCCGAAAGGGCCCCATTTCGGCAGCCCTCGCTGCGCCCCCCCCCCACCCTCCCCCCTTAGGCGGCCTCCAGCTATCCTCCGCGCCCGCTGGAGGCCCCCTTTGGGGCCCGAAAGAATCCCTTTGGGGCCCGAAAGTGCCCAAATTTGCCGAGCTCTCGCTGCGCCACCCCCCCCTTTCGCGGCCTCCAGCCTTCCTCTGGCCCCCCCCCCCCCGCGCGGCCGCTCTGCCCTGCTCTCTCCTGCCTCTCGCTTGGGCCCGAGCACTGAGCAGCTGCCCCGCGCCCCCGAGCTGTTCGACCAGCCCACGCGCTCGCTGGGCCTGCGGACAAATGACAACGAGTCTTCCGCGAGATGACATAGCTTACCCGGGCCGCCAGCGCGGCACGCCACATTTGCAGCGAGGGACCTTACGCGCAACCTCACGCGGGCAGCTTACGGGCCAATGCCGGCGCAGTTGGACCTGTTCTCTTGCACCGCTCAAATGTTCCACCGACCAACCAGCGTGACTGCCTACCAGACCACCCCAACCTACCCCGAGGACCCAAATTGCGGGTTGGGGGGGTACGGGTTCCACATGCTTTTGTGCCATGTTTCCTGACATCCCCCCAGGAGTGGAGGGCAGATTGGAGCCTCCGGGCTGGGTTGGGGTGGTTTGGTGGGCGGTGACAGCGTGCCTCCGGTCTCCTCCTGGCCACGTGCGAGCCGCGCTCCACCACCCCGCGATTCCTCAGAGGGGAGGGGGTCCACTTCGCTCGGGAGGCCCCGGACGAAGTGAACCCCGCTTCCCCCTAGACATCGTGGGTGGGGTAGGGTTCGCATGTGGCCTCCTGCTCCTTAAAAAATCGCCCCCCCAGGGCGCAGCGCGCCCCCGCTCCTCGCTGGCGCAGCCCTCGGGGCGGCGGCCGTCCGCGGGGTGGGCGGCGAAGAGGACCCCGGGCTTCAGGCACACGCCCTCGCCCTGGAGCTGCAGCGCCGCGTCCTCGGGGGCACCACGGCGCACCGATGCCGCGCAACGCAGCAGTGGACGATCCCAGGCCTGTGACAGGTCAGGGGGCAAATGCCGGGAGGTCTTCGTCGGATGGATTGGGGAGAATTGCGCCCCGTTGAGGGGCTGCTACGCCGGATCAGGCCTCAGATTGAGCGGGATCGAGCCGCGGGATTAAGCCAGATTCGGCGGGATGGACCCAGACTCAGCAGAAGTTGGCCTTCCCAGGAGTTGCACCCGAAGATGGGGACAGCTCGTTGTTTCAGGCGCTCTGGGTGAGCTCTCGGCGACCACGTCGCACGTCGCCTCCTTAGACTGGCCTGGGTCTAAATTTAGGTCGGGCCTGTCCCTCTACAGGGGGGTTTGGGGCGAAAAATTACAGATATCCAAAAATGCAAAAAAAATAGAGACAAATCGTCCCCTGACTATTTTTTGACTATTCTTGAATATGCATCCTGTAAAGGGACAGGCCCGACTCAAGTCTAAATGGCTACGTATGGCCCTCCATCCTGCCAGAACGCGCGTGCAGGAGCCAGGAAGGGGAGGGAGCAGGAAGGTACTGTCTGACTGCGCCGCTCCACGCCGTCGAGCTGGCGCCAGACGCGAGAGAAGCTGGGACCGAAGAAAGAGGCAGCGCCGACGCGATTATTCCACGCGGAGCGTTTCCGCCCGATGTCGGGCCCTCACACAGAGCGACCAGGCTCCCAAACATGCAGCAGCAAGTTGGGGTGCGCGGCTCTTGTCGTATCTTCCCTCCCCGTCTGTCCTCCTCGTCCTAGAAGGTTCCAAAGGGGGTTGGGGGGAGGGGGTTTTCCAGGAGGGGTCCCCCAGGGACTTCGCACCCCCGGTTTTGACGAGGTTCCGAGGCCCCTGGGGGGCCCTCTGGAAAACCCCCTCCCCCAAAACCCCTTTTGGAACCCTCCGGCCTTCCTCCGTGGCCACGGAACCCTCCGGTCTTCCTCCGTGGCCACGGAGCGACCTCTCGCGCGTTTGCTAAACACGAGAGGGTCGGGTGCTGCCAGAGGCGTCCCTGTGCTGGCTGGCGACTTGCTGCAGCTTCTGCGTCGGCTCCCGGGGTCCCCGGGCCTCTCCCGGGGCGCGCTCCGATCAGGAGGGCGGGGCGAGCCCGAGGCCGCGGCAACGGAGGCCTCCGAGGAGGCCCCCGGAGAGGCAAAGACCGAGAGACGGGTAGGGGCAGCGTACACGTCGGTCGGAAGAGGTGGGCAATCAGCACCACGAGGCAGGAGGGCGTTGAAAGCAGATTGGGCTTCCGCCCGACCTCCGAGGACGAGGGCAGAGGGAACACCACTCGACGCTCGAAGTAGGAAGGCGCCTGAAGTAGACTAGGACTAGGGCATCCAAAACTACAAGTGTTCGACGGCCAGCGTGTACCTTTCCCGATCCCCCGACGCCGTGCTTTGTTCAACGACGCAGTCCCCCAGGGGTCTGGACCCCTTCTTGGGAACAATTCCTTCATCCTGAGCCGTTCTCTTGACGGCCCCGAGGCCCGTCGAGGTCCCCCCAACGCCGAACAATGCGCAAAACCGGCGTCTGCTTGCTTCACTATAACTACGTTGGAGGTCTGGGTTTCCTCCTCCAGCTAGTGGACGCACCAACCTCGTTCAGCCCAAACCCGGGTCTGCCAGGGCCCTGTCGCGGAGCTCGGCCAGCAGCCCAGTAGCTCCTAAATCCTGATCGAGCAGCCGCTGTTGGGCAGGCTACCTGCTGTCTCAAGTCAACCACGCCCGCGGCGGTACCGCCAGCGATTCCTGCGCGCAGTGGGACCCCACTATTTCCGCACCAATATCGATCCTACCCAGAGACGTCCTGGGAGAACAACCCGAGTCCCAAGACCGCGCAGTGGTCCAAACTCCCCACTGACTCGTCATGTAAGACGTGTTCACCACGCCGTCTGGAGGCCCCGGACTAACGTCCGTGGAGAGGAGGAAAACGGGGACCATGACCAAGACTGAACGCGAAAACTTCGTGTCGGTCGTGGTCAACATCTATATTCGTGAGCATCTTCTTATTCGGCGTTTCGACATTGAGCGAAGAGGGTAGGGAGGGGGGGGGTCTGGCTCCGGGCCTCTGCTTAGTGCGACTGTTCGCGACAGTGCGCCCTATGAGAAGAGACAGGCGCCAACACAGCCAAGATCTACTCCATGGGGGGGGGACGGGGGGCGCGAGGGCCCGCGCAGATCGGCAAAACAATGCATAGAAAAACGATCAGTCAGTCAGCGTCCATTCGGGGATCGTTCCGCGGTGCGCCACGGGCAGATTCGCGCCCTTGCGCTGCCGCCCTGGAGAAGGGCGCCTCTCCAACCCAGGGCGCGAGGCGCGGAGCTCGATCACCTTCGCGCCCCCAGGGGGGCGACCTGGCTCTTCAGTAGGCTCAACCTCGGGGTTTCCTCGACCACGCGCAACAAGCCCTAGGCAAGAGTGCCCTTGGTGCGCGACTTTCGGGGGCCGCGGGGAGGCCAAACCCGAGCGCGCTCAGTCATCTGGGGGCCCCAGTGTGCCCGCACCGGAGGTACTCAGTCACTCTGGCGAGCAGGTCACTCGTACGTTGGAGGCGGCCAGGAGGTCTGAACTGGCTGGGCCCCGAGAAGATCGATCAGGAGGGAGAGATAAAGCGAAATCCGATCAAAATCGGCCCCGGGACCCTCCTGGGGTCCACCTGGTGCAGTCTGTCACCCCAGATTCGTTTTTGAGGTTCTGTGCCCCGATTGCGGCCCCCGGATGCCGAAAAAGGATAAAAGCCTTCCCGAACCCAGCAACGCGAAAGCCGCCCACTCCTCCTGGCCGGAACCCATGCTGGGCCACCTCAGAGCCCCGGCCAGCTCCGACCACAAGTGCGCCCGCACCAGAGCTCACTCTGGTGGAAGGTCCCTCTTACAAGTAGCTGGTTTCGGGAGCGGCCAAGAGGGGGGCGTCCAAGAAGGGGGGGTGCAAATCATGGCTGGCGGCATGTGCGCGGCGGGGCGGGGGGGCCAGGGACGTCATGAAAATAAGAACAGGCGCCATGAAATCTGGGGAAATGTTATGTCCCACGCCATGATATCCACCCCCCCTGGTCATCACCCCCCTCTTTGCCGCCCCTGACGGTTGCCTCCCTTGACGTCCAGGGCGGACACGCCGGGGAGCAGGTGCACCTCGCAGCGGCGGTCCCCGAGGCAAGCGGCGCCGCCCCGCGAGGGGTGCGCCAGCCGCAGCTCCGGGGGCGGGCCGGCAGCCAGGGCCGCCGCCAGGAGGCCGCTGGCCACGGACGCCTCCAGGGCGCCACGGAAGTCCTCGGCATCGACGGAGGTGGAGGAGGAGGAGGAGGAGGAGGACGAGGAGGAGGAGGCGGAGGAGGAGGGGAGGAGAGAAGAGGAGGGGGAGGAGAAGGAGCACGAGGAGGAGGAGGAAGAGGAGGAGGAAGAGGAGGAGGAGGTGGTGGAGGAAGAAGAGGAGGATAGAGACGGTTGGGAGACGATGAACGACCCAGGTCACACATCTAACTACGATGTAAACAGGAGACAACTGCCGATGAAAAAACCATTGGCCGGGTCTGCGCCCGCCTCGTGGGCCTCGGCACGTTGTTGGTCCCGTCTTGCCATTCACCCTTCTAATGTTAATGTAAAGGGGCCCAGGTACATACAACAAATACACACAAGTCCCAGGATTCCCCGCATGTTTCTATATTTGTTGGATTTTCGTGTTCCTCCCCACTCCCCATTTTTCCTGTACTTTCGAGGGAATCGACAATTAATTGTGCTGGTTGTTCCTTCCTGAAAATTCCTGGACGGGACCGCCCAACTCCGAACTTTGGTCCGAGTTTCTTTGCCAGCTCGGGTGGGGTGATGCTTACACGCAACAAGAAGGCCAGCCCCAAGGCGGGCCACCTACATTGGGGGACCTTCGAACCAAGGCACGCACACCTCCAATAAACAACTGACCCTCCCCTGGACTTCGCCCTGGGGGAACAGTGGGGCGGGTTATCCCTGGGACTCGTACCTTTCTTGACGGAGCCAGTCCAAAACCGAAAGCTTTCCAGGTCAATGTTGAAGACGTTCCGAGAAAAAAAACCTTTTTCATGCCATGGCTCACTGGCACACGGCACCTTACACAGGAAGCTGTGTTTGTCACGCTCTCCTTGGGCAGATGACGAAATTGCAATGACTACCTTATGCTGGACCAGCAACGCCTTGAACTCAGTCTCTGCTAGGGTCAGTAGTTCAGGCCCCATTGGTCTAAGCATTAGCTCGGCACCTTTCTGAACGAATTTGTCTGCTAGATCATTGCCCCTCGAGATATGTGGAGCCTGCTTGCCAGCCAACGGAGACGAGTAACCTAGGTGGGAATTACGCTGGCTCAATATCACACGCCTGCCTGCCGATTCACTCCTGATTCGAGCCAACCAGCCCACCAGATGCCCATAAGCAGCATCAGAAACTTCGCATCAACCATCAGACAAGACTTGGCTGTCTCCATTCACCCAAATCGGGCCCTGGGAGATTTCCAGGGCCAACCAGAGGGCTGGAAGCTAAGAGCGAGGCATCGTTGGAACCACATCGATGCCACCACGCGAACCTGGACGGAGAACCTCAGGATCACCATCCTTGACTTGCTGCACAGACTGGGCGAACTGCACCCCCCAGCCTGCACGCGCTATCCGCGCGTCCGTGCGCGACGCCGAGCAGTCCAGGAAGGCCAGCTTGCTGACGATGCGATTGTGGTACGGGACGGTGAAGTCAGGCAGAATGTCGGGGCCGAACCGGTTCAGGTCGCGTGGACAGTGCTGGTCCCCCATCACGGGGGCGGTGGAACGTCCTTGCACGTACTTGGCAGCAGAAGGTCTTGCTCCAGCAGCTCCGAGTTTTCATCCTATTGGGCGATGCCTTGTGCAGCATCGGCCCGCAGCCTCTCGCTCTGTCGGATCCACGGGTGGCCGGTGTCCAGCGCGCGCTTGCACTCCCAGGCCCTGTGGCCCATGGCCTCACGCCGGCCCTTTCAGAGCCCATCACGAAAAGACCCTGCTGCGCTGCACCTCGCTTAGGTCCACATGGTATTGCGCGCCACCACGCGCAGTGCTCCAGCGCCTCGATGTAGCTCTATCCGCCTCATCATTTGCCCTGTCACGGCAGCCGATGCCAGGCCTGGTCTCGAAGTCCACTTTCCTCCCAGATGGTCCTTCCCGGCCTGCTGCCACAGGTTCTGCGGGGCGTCCGCCACTACACTCGACCAGGATAGTAAGGATGCGCGGTAAGGACGCAAGGACCTTGGAACGCCATGTTGACGTGTTCCGTGCGGAGCGCAGTAGAATGCCGAAGGATGCCGAATACCCAAGGGGCAAGGATGCAAGGCTCGGGTAGCCTTGGAAAAATGCCCAATCGTTACTATCATGGTTGACTGTATTCCCCCTCACCATGTGCTTCGCGGTCTGCATGACCGTCATGGTCAGAGCGCTGTGTTCAGGATTCGCTTGACCCCGACGCTCTCCACGAGCAGGCGCGACTTCTGACCGCTTGGTCGATCACCACGATGCCCAACAGAATCGCCCACATTTTTGTTGACCTCCACGGCTTCACCACATCAGCCAAACAGGCGACTCCTTACAGCATCTGTGGGAAATGCTGTAAGCATAATGCACCGAGCAGCCGGTGCAAAGAATTGGGCGACCTCGCCTCGGCGAGCGCCGCTTCGGGGAGGCGGCGCGTTCCCCCGAGAGGCCCTCCAGAACAACCCACTCAGTTGTGATTGTTGTTCTTTGTTGTGCCCGCTTCTGTGGCAACTCACGGGAGCCTACTATGCCGTATTGCTGGCTCTTGCGAACGAACGCTATCCAACGCCAGTCGATGCTAATCGACGCTAAATCGAAGCTAATCGACGTGAAGCCGGCGCGTCATCATCGATTTCCAGAAGACAACCGACACTAACGCACTCCAAAGACGGAATTGCGGAGGTATACAAGGCTCCCATGATTCAAGGGGATCCAACAAGTACTCATATACCGCCACTCCCCGGACCTCTCCCGGTGTGAGGGTGGGTTCTGACCAGCCTTTCGAGGCGAATCCAGCGGTGGTGACGAGGGCCTCCAAGGAGGCCCAACAAGAAGGGAACAAGAAGGGAAAACGAGGATAGCGTAGCGGTATGGGTACCTCTTCCTCCAACGATCACTTGCTGCCGAAGCCAGGGGTCCGCGTTGCGGAAGTGCGGGGAGCTGGCCCGCCACCGCAGCAGCGCCTCCCGCAACGGCTGCGGCGGCCCCCCGACAGAGAGCCCTGCGCCCGCGCCGCTCGCCGCGGAGCGGCTGTCGGCGGCGCGCGGCCCCCCGGGCGCCAGGTACTCCCCCGGCCGCCTCGGGAGCGCAGGAGGATAGTGACGGTGACGGCGACGATGGCGGTGACGATGGTGGTGACGATGATGAAGAAGGATGGCTTGGTGACGATGGCGATGATGGTGACGAGGATAATGGTGACGGACGATGAAGATGATGCTAATGACAGTGACGGCGGTGATGGCGAGGATGACGGTGGCGGTGATGGCGAGTGATGGCGAGGATGATGGAGGGGTGGCGGTGATGGCGAGGATGATGACGGCAATGATGGTGATGGTGATGGTGATGGTGATGGTGATGGTGATGATGATGATTATGATGATGACGATGATGATGATGATGATGATGATGATGGTGATGATGATGATGATGATGATGATGATGATGATGATGATGATGATGATGATGATGACGTTGGCGTTGGCGCTGACGATGACGCTGACGATCGCGAGGATGACGGTAATGGTGATGGCCATGATGACGATGGTGAATGAGGCGATAATGCTGACGATGAGAATGGTGGTGTGTGCGACAAAACTGAATACGATGGCGAAGATGGCCACTGTGACCACGATGAAAACAATGACGATGGTGGCGGTGATGATGATGATGATGATGATGATGATGATGATGATGATGATGATGATGATGAAGCCCCCCCTGGCCCAAGAGGTCTTCTGAGGGGCAAACACTCATCCTTCTTGTCCGCCGCGCCCGCCAGATGATGGCAGGTGCTGCCTGGTGAATGCCGAGAAACTCCCCGCCGTCTGCACGAGACTTCTGCAGGGTGCAACCTACAACCCGATGTCCAACGTCCACGCGGGCAGAGGGGAGCAGGTGAGCGAGGAGCTGCGACACCTGCACTTCGCGGGTCTGAGCGGGACCCGTATTCGCCAGCCTATTCAACGTAGCCGCCATACATGTCAGTATACATACCACTGGGCACTTCACTGGGGTCATGGAACAGGCAGTGGATCAAACAATGCAGCTGGAGTAGCAGGTTTGTTTCATCAGCAGCTTGTAAAGTCGGCACAGATCAGAAGAATATGGGATTCTCCGACGACATGCCCTGGAAGAGGAGGAGCCGCACGTATTGCTCATGCACACTTGCATATGAGATTATGTATTTCCCGCCACATCCGCAGGGTCACACAGCACTGCGAAAATGGCGACAGACTGTCCGGCAGATGGTTGAATGACTTGATCATACTTTGATGGGAATACCAGCGCGGTCGACTCCTGTGACTACGATGGACTTAAAGGATGAGTTTACGTGGCAGGGTACAGTGCTCATACCAAATGGGGAGGCTGCATCTGCACTGGGAGAAATCTTACACAACCAGTTCTTGACGGTGGTCACCAGACATCATCAACACGCTCTGACACTCTACAGTACCAGACAGTCGCCGCATATTGATCATGTATGCGTACCTGCCACTGCTGGACCAGAGATTCGTGACATAGAAGTCTGTCCATCGCTCGGACGTCCATCCCCTATGCTCTTCTCGGTTTCGTGTGTGGTTGTTCGCCAAGTGGTCAAGGATGCTCCTCGATGGTCCTCGCCGACGGAAAAAAAAATCGCAAATCCGAAGGATGCCAATGACATAGAAGTGAATAAAAAATCTGGCCGTCGTCTGCAGGTGATACCCGACGCGGTTCCACGTGACCACATGCCACGTGTTATCAAATGCGCTATGAGCGTCCTGTGATGAAGCCTAAGACCCCAGGCGAGAACCTGGAACCAAGAGGCCATTGAAAAGTGTATCCAGGAGGGTATCTTGAGGGACGAGTTCTTGCAAGAAGTTCGGGAGGTTCTTGAAGCGCACCCTGAAGAGTTTAGACGTATCCAGGATTCCCCGACAGCTGATCGTCATTGGAAGTTGTTGTGTGATATTGTTATCCCTGCGGCTTATAGTTTTTTGGAAGGGACCCGCCAGATACATCGGAGGCCAGCTGGAAGAAACGCAGTCGCCAACTATTACAAAGCTGAACGATGGAGCCCTGAGGAGTTGAGTGAGAGGATCGAGGATATAAAGAAGCTGAGCAAACTGATACGAAGTGAAACAAGGAAAATGCATGCTGCTTGAAAACAACATACCAGCCAGGAATTTTTAGAAGGCTGAAAGCAGAATGATCATGCTCTTGTTGCCCGATTGTGTCGTCAACTTGCGGGTACCCAGTTGCTCGCTCGCAAACGTTTCTGTAATGCTATCAACGGCGCTCGAGCAACATGTGAAGAATGGAAAGAGGCTTTACAGCAGAAGGGACCCGAGGGTAGAATCACAGGTCGTCCAATTGCTTGTCAGCGCCATGAATATATTCAGGAGTGGATTGCACCGCCGCTGCCCAGCCCAAACGACGAAGCCGATATGATAGCTCTGTTTGATTCAAAACGCACGCATCGAGAGCTCCGTCAATGCAGACGGAGACGAGCCGCTCCCCCTTGGAGCATGCCAGCGGAACTGTCGCAGACCCTGGCAACGCCTGAGCCACGCCCCCCGCCGAGAGATGCGAGAATCGGATTGGGGTTTCAGAGGAGAGTATCGGAACGGACGAAGGAGGAGGAGTACATCACGAGTGCTAACTATCTCCAGCAGTTACTTGTTCATGTACGACGCGCGCACGGTGCGCCAGTTATTGGACATAGGTCATATACGTGGCAACTTGATAAGCATAACGGAGTTCCGAAGACAAGAGGTAGTAGATTGATGCATGGTTGGTGTCCCTTCTGGAAAAGTTTCGCCGAAGGGTTTATCGCACACGCGATCTTCCCGGTTTTCCTCATTATGCCCGTGGAGGTCGAGCTCACTTCCGCAGGGAGGCCGCGATGATGGGCTCACACATTATGTCATTGCGTGTGCGGCGATGCAGGCGTTCTTTTTCTGTGACCTCACACGATATGACAAATGCACTCCCGTCAACGCAGCACAGCCAAGTTCGAGCAAGCAATCATGCTGCACTTCGCCGCCCTGGTGCACTACTACTGGATCATAGACGCCAACACATGATCGCACACATGGACGCACTGGGCGGGGAGATAGGTATACATACACGTGCTGGCGGTTTCATGGGAGACGGGAACGCACCAGATGAGTTCCTAGAAGTGTTTCAACTGCCACTAGAGCGGTGGCGACCCACACTGCAGGATATCATCGACGAGCTGACCATCACTCATCCCGTATTTCAGAAAAGTTATGATGCATCGACCAATACCTTTCTTGAAAATATCCTGCAGATCCATGTGCATGTACACCCTGTTGCGACGTATTGTGCACAGCGGCTTCGCCGCACCAACGACGCGCTGGACGAGGCCCTGAGACCTGCAGGCTACGCCCAGAACCGTAGCAACCAAGAGGTTACCCCGTGCCTGAGATCTACGCAACAGAACCGTCGGTTTTTCAACCCGTCTGGAATTGGAGTTGTATTACATGGGATGAAATACCTGGGGGGGGGCTATCTTTGATCCGTCGGGATCCATGGTGTCAGAACGAAAGGCGCGGGTGAAAGCTTCGAGGATGAATTGGGCGCAGTTCTACGGGGTATGGTTCTCTCATATCCCGAAGGCGGTAAAACGTGCTGCATATAGCTCCAGGGTCCAGGGTCCAGAGTGATGATTTTCTAGCACTGGATGTACCGATCCTGGGGCACCTTAGAGCGATGATGCAGGGGAGGACGAGGAGAGACACTGACACGCACATCCGCACGGTCACGAATCTAGACGTATGGCAATTCTGGAGGATATGCCCATCTGCTCTCGAATTACGCGTTCGCCGCCTGCGATGGCTGCAGGCGATGGGTAAGTTCTCACTCGAGCATGAGCTCCCAGTGTCGACACTTTTTGGCGACCTGCGTTGCGAGATGCGAAGTAGAATTGCCACGACTCTTACTCAGACGGGTCGTGTACCGCATGAGGCAAACCCGTGGGGAAAACTGTTCGGGGCTGGCGTGCACAGCCTGACGGAGATCTAGGAATGTGAAGCTTTCAATGATATGTGGGATCGCAGTATGCACACTCTCTTTCGGAACGCTGAATTGGGGGAAGCTTGTTGTACTTTGGATCCTGGGATTCGACGGGCTCACTACTGGTCCTCTACTGTTGCCCCTCCTGAATACGACGTCTTGGGCCCTCTACCTGTACCTGATGATGGAGCCTCGTTGGACGCCCTGTATGAGTGTGACATGAGACTGGAGAATGGATGTAAATGTGATGCGCGATTTGCCACATATAAGAGTTTACGTACGCATCACATGAAATCACATCGTGTTCGAAATGTCGCTCGACTCGCCATCGTGACTAACCAATGCCCAACATGTAGTTCGGGATTCAAATCTACGGCGTGTGCTGAACAACATCTTCAATATGCGCTGATACATCGGAGATGCTATGCTGCTAGGTCTTCGATAGATGTACACGTTCAACAGCCAGCTGATCTCACATGCCCGCTGTGTACTGTGGAGCCACTGCCGTGTCTGGCTCAGCTTCAGCAGCATATCTGCCAGCATCTTCCTTTGTCAATCGAGCACGACATTGACCTTCACTATGAGTCGCCTAGCGGATGTGACGCCAGTGGGACCGTAGCAGCCCAAGACCAAAGAGCGACGCAAGGGCGGCGTCGCAGTACAAGAGCAGCAGGGCCCCAAGGTAGACATCTCAACGATCCAGGACCCAACGGTGAAACGAGTACTCAGCATGATGATGAAGCAGGTCGCAAAAAAACCCGAGATAAACGCAGAATGAAACCCACGGTGATCGACACCTTCCGAATCAAGAAGTCCTCCCAGATCATTCAAGCACTGGAGGAGGAACAAAGCCAAGAGATGACAGTTTCTCCTGCACCATACAAGGCGTGCGTGCTCATCCGTATGCTAAAGGAGTGCGACGTGGGCGCGGCTACCAGGAAAGCACTCGAGGAGGTAGACCAGAAGATGCAGCGACTGTCGATAGAAGAAGTGGAGGCGGAGTTCCAGGTGATGTGGATCGAGAAGGCATTCGACAGCGACATGTGCATATTGAACATCAT